ACGAGTATTTTAAAATGTAATGTAATCTAATTACAAGTACTTAATTATTGGAACCTGATTATGTAATCCATATTACATGTAATCAGCTACTACCCAGCACTGTTTATATATATATATATATATATATATATATATATGCTGCAATATAACAAAGAGTGAAAAATTGAAGGGGGTCTGAATACTTTCCGTACCCACTGTATATATATATGAAAACATTAATATTTATTATATATAATCTTTATTTTTGTATGATAAAAATCATACAATTATGTATTCATACAATTATTATTTTTTTTAAATTATATGTGTTAATTTTATTTTTAAATTGTAAATATGATATATTTTTATATATTAAATGTAATATTTTTTTACTTCATATAGATATTAATTTATTTTTGTTTATGTATTATCTATCATTTTAAATGAGTGTTATTTTTTATATAAATGCAGTTAATAATTTGTCATTAATAATGCATATATAATGTAATTAGTATTATTATTATTTTTTTTTAAATTTTATATTTAATTTGATACATACTAAGGCAGTTTATGATTGGGTGTCTGTTGCTAAATAATTTGATATTTTTTACAGAACCACATTGTTTCTTTGTTGTATATTTTGGCACCACAGTTTAGATTTAGCACCCAGCTAAAGGCATCATAACCCAAAGTTTAAAGCAGCGTTGCCTTAAAAATTACAAGTGTGAAATCTTATAAAAAACATTAACCCAGTGTTAAACAGAGTGTGAAAAGCCTTTTAGTTTTTTTTTTTTTTTTTTCCAGGTTTATTATAGTTAGGAAATTTGAACCTAGGAGAATAGTAATGCTGATATATACCTTCTAATAATTTACACAAGACCAACAGGCACATTTTAAAAGCACATGTATGTCTCATATCATGAATGTTCACAGGATCCCTGCATGAGACTTTCTCCTGTTATAATGTAGTGCACTGAGACACCTACTGTGCAATATGTGTATTTACAGCCAGACTCCATGTCAAAGCATCCGTTTGTGAAACCTTACCAAATGCTTTAGTTAATGTTTGAAAATATTTTTTACATTTGCTAAATGTAAATTCAGATTAAAACATGATTGGGAAGGTAATTTATTGAATTTAAGGTTTTAAGTAAGTAATAGACCAGTGGTGTTACATCACATCTCTCTCCTGCAGGAATTGACAAGGAGAACGTTGAGATTTCTCCCACCTCGAGTCTCTCCACCAGTGGGCGAGCGCGACACGGGTCAGCCAGCCAGGTGCAGAAGCAGCGCAGTGCAGGCAGCTTCAAACGGCCAAGCATCAAAAAGATCGTCTGAGAAGATTTGAAGCATTTCTACCTACTCCATGGCCATCGTTCTTCTCCACGAATCCTTTTTGCTTTCTGTCATCCAGTTAACAAGGTTCCTGCATTGAAGAACCGCTTAAGGGTTTGTTTTTTAATACCAGTTGAAGCTTGCCACACACTTGCCTAAATGAACTACTTCAGGAGAATGCACTGAACTCTCCGTGTTGCACTCAACATCGAAAATGTCTTGGGACTGACCACATTGAAATGCTAAATCTGACCATGTTGAGGCGTCCACTCTTCGATTTTGCACAAACTTGAGATTATGTCCTCATCGATTTCTGAAAGAAACACATGAATGAGAAACTGATCTGATCAGCCACTACAGCAAACAGATGACCAACCCTGTGGAGACTCGCAGGATCTTTATCCTGCCCTGGTATCCGTCCTTTTTCCATTTAGTCCCGGACCTGCTTCGGGATGGACGCGCGGCCTGTCCTGTCCTGATATCCACAGGCTTGAAATCTTGATCGCGATCCAAGATTATCTGTGTACTATACTATTGACGATAATAACGATCACATGTTTTGGGTTCTTATTTTATCCATTGTGTGCCTTTGTCAGGGTTTTCAGCTGTGTATAGTTTGTAAAATAGGAAGGGAAAACAGGTACTAATTATGAAAACGTGTTGCGGCTTTAACATTTACCATATTGTCCATTCGTCGCTACAGTGTAAACAGTACCATGTGACCATCAAATACGAGAATATATTGCAGCATCTAAATATTTATTCTTAAAATGTAGATAATCCTTCCGGAGATCACATGAAGGTTTGCTTTGGGATCGTTATCATCAGTCGTCGAAAAAATGATTCTGGAAGAGCAGTGGATGAGTATGTATCCGTATGTAGTTTTTTTTTTTTTGTCCCAAAATGCACAAATCAAACATGTCAAATTGGCATTAATATTCATGTTTTAGCATTGTCTCACTGTGGTGCAATATGTTTTTTTTATTTGTTTCGTTGAACACTATGTGTCTATACAAGTTGCACATGATTAAAGTGTGTGTTCAGGAAATATCTGTACACACTTTTACCTTTCCCTGTTCCCGTCTCACTAACAGCTCTCAAATACGGAACAGGAATCCCAATCCCACCACAAGCTGACATAGTAACACTGCACCAAAGACAAGTTTGCAATATTGTGAGGGGAAACTGTTGTGAACTCCATTTTGTATATTTTTATGTCTGTCTTGTCTATGTTGTATGCCTTAAAAAATTATTCCTTCCATACAGTTCTCACTAACTTTGTAACCATGTTTTTGGCGTTTCGTTTAATTTTCTCACTCGCCGCCTAACCAGTGAGTTGCAAAATTAACCACAATTGTGCCATTTAAGTTTGAATTAACATGCCATTATCAGGGCTTCAGTGTATTAAAAACTGAAGTGGGCGATTTTTGTGTGCAATATGTTCTCTGCATTACTTTTTTTTGTTTTTTTTGTTATTACTTAGATCGGCAAATCTACAAGGAGGAAACGGTAGTGTACCTAGTAACAGACTCAAAGTACATGGTGTTTGCTCTCTTTGAAATGCTTATTAAAGGGAAACTTGTATTACTAAAGAAGGGTACCTGCCAAATGTTTGAGGATGGGATATTTATGCATAATTTTAATTTTATGTTTCTGAAAAGATTGCATTGAAATACACATGAGTACCAGATGTTTCACACTTAAAATTGGGACCAAATCGATGTCATTCTTCCATTTCATATGTAGATTTATTTTACATTTCCGTTGGTTTTACAACATACTATCCAGCAGATCCAAAAATGTACTTTCATTCTGAATTGTGGTCATTTTTTAAGTATTTACTGTGAAATATCATCCCAACAGCAGATTTCAGATGACCAGATTTCATATGATCAAAAATGAAACCTGAAATGTTTATTTCTGCTCTATATGTCGTAATGGCGAATTTCACATCAGTCCATGTCAAATTTACAGTTTTTAATATAAATTGAAAATATAAAGGAACATAAATGACCCAATCAAGTGTTTGAAGTGTAAGATTTGTCTTGTTTTTTTGTTTTTTTTTGCATCCATTACTCTAACCAGAATATAACTCCTTTTTCTTGAATCTTATGTTGTTGCATTGCTACTACCAATCTAGAACTGACCTAATCCAATATGTTAAAACTTTAAGACAATAATGAAGGCACAGTCTTGACTGCCATGATGGCGAATAGGAAACATGACATGCCCCTAAGCCTTTTAAATTGCGTATGTAATTAAACTGTCTTATGTACTCATCATAAACAGACTAAAAAAGTGGTTTATTTTATATAATTCAAGATGTGTGTTTGTCTGATGCATTTGCCACATTTTTAATTGCATTGGTCATCTGTAAACAATGTATCTGTCACCTGTAAATATGTTTGTGTAAAATTGGAAGGTATATAAATACAAGTGTAAATATATGATATTGTATTACTTGCTTTTTGTAAAGCGGTTAGTTGCTGTACATGTATAACATGGCAATTTAATTATACCAGTGTTCGTAATAAAAGTTTCCCTCAACCCTGTTACCATGCTGTCTAACATGTGGAATCAATTTTTACTATACCGTTTTGTCTGGGTTTTATTAAATAAAAAAGAAATGTGTTAAAATACCAAAAAGATACCTGTATCAGATGTTTATCACCTCAGAGACCCCCAAACAACCTGTGTAAAAAATCGTTTTATAGTTGTCCATAACTTGACTATATCCTCACTTCAAGGGCAATGTAATGAAATCTAGATGCTTGGAGATACTTAAAATCTCATCAACTCTAACAACTCCATTTAAAGTGATTACATTTCCACAAGCTCTGATTCATCATGGTAAATAAGCCAACAATGGTTAGAGTTTGGTTTTGCAATATTTCTGTTCATCCTGAATATATGGAAGAACAAAAGTACAATGCAACTGCAACATCTCTGTTAAAACCAACTTTGTTAACCAAATAAATATATCAAATACCAAAAAGACACTTTTGAGGTTAAAATCACCCTTTGGGAGGGCCCAAATCTTTGAATTTGCAATCTGTTAACTATGAATTGTAAAAGTGTCATTTCACAAGCTAAATAATCCATATAGATAACTTAAAAATGCATTAAGGAGACTGACACGTTTGAACATATTTATATGCTTTTATATTAATATATTTTAAAATAAATACTGTGTACTGTGATAGTTCAGCATTTCAGGCACAGTTTTGAATTTTTTTTTTATATAAGTTTACTTAAATGTTCCATATAGTCTCAATACGAGGTCATAAAAGCTGCATGTATAATTATACAAAAATAAAAAGGTTTAAATGTTTAAAATCGTTTTAGATAAATGATTGCATCTCATATAACAAATAGATCATTACTGTGATCTTTTAAAATGTGGCAAACCTCCAGTGTTTTTTTTTTCCAGGCTTTATCATTTCCAGGGGCAAAGTTCAAAGTTTAGCAGCCAACTGCAATGTCAATAACATCAAATAAGTGCTGCTCTCTTTTACTTTAACTGAAACCATATTTTGAGCTACAGTTTCTCTAATTTATGTTGAGTCTTTCTGTCACAATTACTTATTATTCCCTTTTACATTATAAATGTATGAGCAGCCTCGTGGAGTCCGAAACCACTGTGACCTCGCGATGATTGCATACATTAACACTGAGAGCGGACTTATCGCGAGATTTGATCAGCTGATGCGTCTCTGTTTTTAGAGTGTGCGTTAGGACGGTCAACACGTGGGGAGGAGAGACAAGAGACATATATATATACACACACACACACAAGCGCTCACATACACGAAGAGGGGGGACACGTTGGGATTGTGCTGGGCCTTGAACACGTAACATTAATATTATACGGTGGCGGTGCGAGGGACGCATAAACACAGTGAGTATAAGCCGTGTGTTCGGGTTTTTACCTCATATATGCTGATAGGTGAAGCATAAATAGCGCGGAGAGGGAGCCCATTTTAGCCGCCTCTCTCATTAGTCCTGCTGTCGGCCTTTGCTTAACATCCAAGCTGATTTTAACCATCTCACATGCAACCATCTCATCTTCAAAAATGATTTCCACCTTCATTGGTGCGACAGCGTATGGTTGACATTGCGCCAACGCTATCCGCTATCCAGAGCGCCCGAAACGCTTTAGCTATATCGGCTAACGGTGTCGCCAAATCTGAGTTCAACTCTAATGGATAGGTAACGTTAATAGGTCTTGCACATTAATTATTGTCGTCAAATTAAGCAACTGCAGGGATATCGATCATTATTAGCTAATAGACCAGATGGCATGTTGCAAAAATCATCTTGACTACCTTCAACTGCTATGACCATGTTTTGGTACGTAGTAACGTTAGCTAGTTTTTAAGCTGATCAGTAGCAGGTTGGCCAGGTTATATATTCCACGAACTATCTTGAGCATTTTAAGATGGTGTGACCAGCTGCTAGGTGATTTGTTGCTGGTCCTACCAACGAATTACCAACTTGGACCAGCTATAAACCATTATAATCTGGATTTTCCACTAGGGAACTGTCGTTTCCATATTTTCAGGCCCAATTCATAATGCTACTTGGAGCTATTATAATTTGATCGTTTGTGCGGTCATTTTGGAGTATGACAGAGGGAACATATGCTCTTTGTTCTTTGCGCGTTGAAGTCAACTCACACCTTCATTCAGCTGAATTATGAACCGAGCCACATGGACTCGCGGTTTCTGTGAACTCATGAATAATTCAGGGTCGCTGTGGAGGAGGAGGACTTGGTGGAGGGTTACCCCGGTGAACTCGTTTTAAAGTCAAGACACTTGAAGCGGTCAGTACTTCAGACTGAATACCTGCATGGGGTTGCAATTCAGTCAGCGGCCTAACGTTACCACGCGCACTGTAGGTCAATATCACCTCTCCAACTGGTTATTTACGTTTTTTCTTTATTTAATCACCTCGGTTTTGTGTGTTGCTTCATTGCTGGCATAAACTGTGGAAGCTTCTGCTTATATTTCTCTCATTTCGCCTATTAGTTCTTATAGCAGCAATGAACAGTTAGCCTAACTGCTAACACGCGCAGCATGCAACGCAACCTCGCAGACATCTGGCTGGCTGCAAGGTGTCTATTTTGTCTCGTGCTCGAATATGTCGTGTTATATCATTGACTTCGGCCGCAGTGCCAGTATGCTAAAACGCGGGACTCTCCGGTGTATCTCCAGCAGCAGCCGGTGAGCGTAACCATCTCCTGACGCGCTGGAGTGTTCACGGGTTCGCTTCTGTATTCTGAATGCAGCAGCACCAGTAAGCCGCTGAACAGTTAGCCTAACTGCTAACACGCGCAGCATGCAACGCAACCTCGCAGACATCTGGCTGGCTGCAAGGTGTCTATTTTGTCTCGTGCTCGAATATGTCGTGTTATATCATTGACTTCGGCCGCAGTGCCAGTATGCTAAAACGCGGGACTCTCCGGTGTATCTCCAGCAGCAGCCGGTGAGCGTAACCATCTCCTGACGCGCTGGAGTGTTCACGGGTTCGCTTCTGTATTCTGAATGCAGCAGCACCAGTAAGCCGCTTACTTGAGATCAATGGGTTCGTATGTTACGTGTTGCGCGAATGACTGCTACGGTACCCTCTCCGTTATCTCTACACCTCCCCAAGGTCGAACGGCCACCGTGCAGCACGCGCTCGGTTCTGTTTCAATGGGCCACTCGCGCACGCGCTCAGGCCATGATATGACAGCGAGCGTTAACTCGGCGAGCATTTATTTAACCTCGGCCTGAAGGTGAACACAGGACTGAAACTGGTTCAGGAGGACTTACTGTGCAGAAACTACAGTATGTGACTACATTCTGTGAACATGGCTGCTTGAAACGTGCTCTCGAGACTGAGAGAGTTAACAGACAGTGTAGTATTAATATTATGGCTATTGCATTGTGTGAACAAACCCTCCATAGCTAGTACTACTACAATTTCTTTGAGTTGAGAAAATTAAAAGCTACTAATGTCTGAAATATAGAAATTGTGTATGGTGAATTGTGAAATCGTTTGTGGCACTTCAAACAATCGTTTATGTAAAACGTTTTTTTTTTTGTCAATTTTTGTATGAGATATATTTTCTAATATACATTTTTAAAGAGGTTTGCTGATTTTATAACCCTGTCATCAAAATATAGGTCGTTTCTAAATGCAGTCTAAGACCCTCAACTCGCCTCCTAAACTTAAGAATGATGCTGTTGCTTGGTAGGGACTAAATAAAACTGTTTTTCCATAAAATTTGTTTGTTCATTTTGAACTTGAGGAATGCTGTCAACACTACGATCGGAGGAATTGACTAATTTTCCTGCTATGCTGTACAAAGACTTCAAAAGATATATTGTAGGGAATATTACAATTTTCATACGGTCGGCGTCGTGTTTGACATTCATCCTGCTAATGATACTTTTACAGTAATTGATGCTACAGATGCTATTAGCATGGTACTTACTGACACTGAGGGGAACCCCCCCTCCCATAATTAGAAAGTGCCAAATTTTTGATATTCTTCCTGCTGCTCTGCTGCTGTCTAGGATGACAAAACTTTTAAAAGCTACAGTTTAGTTATAAAAACTTAGATATATTCTCAGCGGTCTATCAGCGCCCAATGTCAAAATGATTGAGATGGCCAATAAAATCAGACAAGGTGGGATTTACTGTTCACAGAAGCCTAACATGATGCTTTTGTTTTAAAGATGAAAGACTGTGAAGATGTAAGTAGCTTATCATTTAATATTCGACAACTGTTTTACAATAGAAATATTCAACGACTGACAGTAATATCCATTGATGCAAACTATTCAACTTTTTTGCTATATTAAATTGAAAATATAGGCTTTAATTTGTGTGATGTAATTCATAACTGAATGTGATGAGACAAGAAATTTTAACAGAGCCATTTACAACATGGGGTATACAATTAAGAGTGAATGAGTGCATTTTTGAAATATGCAAATAGTACAGATTGATTACAGTAAATTCTAGTTCTTTTGCTGTTCTTTTCTTTAAAGCTCTTAAAATCCTTTAAAAAAAAAAAAAAAAAAATTGGTCACCCCAATATCATCATTATAGCTTTGTACTTAACTATATTTTTTTCCTGAATTATTCGCGTATTTCAAAAAATTTTTCCACATTAAGATCCAACTTTGGTTTCTTTCTCGCAGTATATTTGTCATTCCGTATGCTACGTGCTCAAGTAGTCACTATTTATTGACAGTGAGAGGTGGTTAGCATGTCTTCTGAAACGCTCTCTGGAAGCTGAAGAGAAATGGAAACCCCTTTATCTTTGGTTACTATGTACAGGAGTGAATGGGTGGGGTTTGTATATGATGTGTTCCTCCTCCTCTGGAGACTGGGATATGCTGTCCCCATGATGGAAATGCATGCATGAATGTCCTTTTTTAACTCAGAAAGGATGCCCCTTCTGACCAATAGCAGTGAGGTAGACATTGCACGTAGCTCTCAGTACCCTCTGAGGTTAAATGTCAGCCATGTGATATTGTCCCTGAAGTTTCTGCATGGCTGCCCAGAACTCCCTCTCTCACTGTAAAGGAGCCAGACCAAAAGTGCAGCAAACAAAGCAATATGTTATATGTAATTTCTTTATTTTTTTTGTTAAAGATTCACAAGTTTTGATTAACTGCTTCTTTTATTTAGTCTTTGTCTTTGAAGGATGCAGTTTATTTTTTTATTACATACTATGTAGTCATCAGTATATAATAATTCCATGGAAGATGTTTTAGTGCCCATGCATCTTATGTAACCATGAGCTAGTTGTTTTCTAGATGTAACACAGACTTGTGAGCAAGACAAAGGAATGAATGTTGACCAGTGTGTAATTTCCCAAGATGATGAGTCACCCATTCTTTCACTTCTTCCCAAAGGCAACACATCTTAAACCAGAAATAAAACCTTTTATTACACTGCTCTCTGGAATACTTTCTGATTGTCCTGTCTGTGGTCAAATATGTTTTCAATTAATTTCCAGCAAAAAATGCTGTACAAGATTCATGTCTCTTATATCACTCTGGTCTCTTCTTACAAAAAAAAAAAAATAATAAAAAAAAATCAACTCTCCTCAATATTTCATGTCCATTTATTCGTTTAAAAAAGGTAGCCGTGTCGTAAGTGGGATAATGTACAGCAATTTGATTATTGCAAAATATGTAGGAAGGTTTGCAATTTTGGGCAGTTTTCATTAAATAAACAAAAAAAAAAAATGCACGAGTGGGTAATAGTATTACAAATAGGCCAAATTCATCTTTAATTCAGTAGTGGTTGGGTACTAAATGCTGATATATAATTATGGTAACAAGACTGAATGGTTGAGCTTAATGTCTATGTCAGGTTTATTGTTTGTCCTTTATAGTGCAACATTTCTCCATAATTTCCTTTGTTTTATCTTGCTTTGACATGATTTGTCTTATCATTGTTCCTTGTGTTGATCTGCAGGTGTAGCTGCTAGGGTCCAGAGGAGATGCCACTGAGGTTCCGGTCCTTTGTTCCGTATACGCTTCCTGGAGTGCTGGCGCTCATAGGCTGGTGGTGGTACATCTCCCGCAAGAAAGAGCGAATCACCAGCCACGACAGTGAGGAGGGGTCAGTTATGGGCTTGCGAACCTCCTCTGGTGAGGGCAGCAATGGGATGGTCGACAAGAGCTGCCCTGCGGCCAGCAGCACACACCGCAGAACCAGCCGAGACGGAGTCAAGGCCAAAGAGCACAGACCTGTTGAGCAGGAAGTTGTAGTGGAGATTCACACACCGGTGCGAAAAGCCACTGCGGGAGAGGCTCTCGGCACCCCTCCAGTTGTGTTGGCCAGTGGACAGCTAAGCACTCCTCAGAGTGGTACAAAATCAGTCCCTCTACAAAGCCAACCAGAGACAACAACTCCTGTGTCATCTTCAACCCCAACAAAAACAGTGGACGAGAGCACTCATCACAAAGGAATAGAGGCTGCCATTGGCAGCAAACCCTCAAGCCAGTTACCGCCAGATCTAGCGAGCACTGGTTCAGTCAAGAAGCAGGTCGAAAACCAACCACTAACTAAGCAGCGTCCTGCAGAGCTAGCCAAAGCAGTGCGACCTGAACCTGAGGGAGAGGTGGCCGCTGAAACCTCGGCACCAACTTGCAATCAGAATTTGCCGGCTGACATTTCAAAAGATGAGCTGGCCTCCGCTACATCATCAGCGGAGGGCGTGGCTGTGTTGCTGGAGACCTGCAGCCCGAAAACACCGCTGACTTTGACCTCGTTCCCCAACTCCACCAGCACACCCCTTTCAGAAAGCTCCATCGAGGCTCAGCACCATGAAAACGGAGACCTGGGCTTGCCGGCCGAGACCAGTCCAGACATGCAGGAGCTCCAGCGTCTCGTGGCAGGGCTGATCACTGAGGTCATCTCGGCAGCCACCCAGGAGGTCATGGCGGTCAGCAACTGTGAGTCCCGGTACAGCAAGGGCTCTAAAGCGGCCGACAGCAGCACGCCCTCTGTAAATGGTAAGGAAGTGGAGTCGTATGTACCTCCAGAGAGCATGAAAAGCACAGAGTCACGGGTGGTGCAGATAGCCGAAGACATCGTCAACGGTTGTCTGGTGCCTTCGCTCTGGAAAATGCCGGAGAATGAGAAGGAAAGAGGCTCATTGACTGTGTCGTCTGGGGAACAGTTGGAGTCCACTCCGGTTCTGGCCAAGCTGCAGGCAGAGGAAGCTCTGGTGGAAGACTCAGGATGTAGCACGTGCCAGTCAGAGGATGGCATCAGCAGCGAGGATCTCCATAGCACAGGGTTGTCCTCGAATGTGTCTGAAAGTAAAGAGGACCTCATTCAAATTTCAGGGACTTGTAGGGCATCAGAGGGTCAAGGAGATGGACTGCAGGAGAGTCTTGGTCTAATTGCCTCTCAGGAGTCCCCACTTACCGCAGAAAACGTGGCTACGGTTTGCGAGGCAGCACGGTTGAATGGAACAGGCTTTAGGAATGGTACTGCTAATGAGGTAGAAGCTGACCAATCAGGAGGTGAGTTACAGTTCTTAAGAATTTAACACTAGGGCTTAAAAGGATTGATCACCCAACATTGAAAATTGTCATTTTTTTTCACTCTGAGCTCATTCATAACCAATTTCACTTTCTTTCTTCTGTGGAACCCAAAAGATATACAGTGCCTCGCACACCTGAATCAGTCATAGGTGTGTTGGATAAATACAAAATAAACGAATAGAATATAAATTCCTCACAGGTTGAAGGTCCAAATTGCAGTTTCAATGCAGCTTCAAAAGGCTTTACACGATCCCAGCCGAGTATCATGTGTTTTGTGTTTCGCAGGAGAAATACAATCAAACAGGTTTAGAATTATATGAGTCACAGTAAAGGATGACGGAATTTTCATTGTAGTGTGATCAGTGAATACTACTGAATTCAGTTCATTTTAATGGTTTCAGAGTAGTGCTGGGCGGTATGACCACAAATTTATATCACGGTATTTTTCAAAATTATACCGGTTTCACGGTACATGACGGTGTTTTTTTTTTCCATGCATGACCGTGTGTTAACCATATTTTCTACTGATTGAGAGAGGAAATACTGCAGTATATTGACTTAGAATGCCCTATTTTACTCTCATGATGAGTGAATATTGTCAAAAAATAACACATTATATAGTGACTAAACACGACCCCTTTTAATACATGTTAACCAAGAGTCACTCTCATTTATAATCACGGCATCATCTGATAAAATCAACATGCATCTACACTAAAGAGCGGCTATGCGGTTGTTTTGGCTATATTACTTTTTTGTCTCATGCAGCGCACTGCCTGCGTCTGAGTAACAAACTAAAAAAAACAACGAACAAAAAAGTGCATGTGATATTAACAGACGAACTACGCTCATATTTATCATTCCAAACAATCAGTAAGCGACAGGTGCTAGGAAATGCTGTTTTGAGTTACAACCAACCACCCTGGACTCCCTTTTAAAGTAGTATTGTGATGGTACGATGGTATAGTGATTGTATGAGTTTGTAATACCAATATCATGGTACTTTGATATAAACCATGGTACTGAATAATTAATTACCATGGATTTTCATGGTGTTCACTGTAGGGGTCGACCGATATGTGTTTTTCAGGGCCGCTGCCGATACCGATTATTACAGATCAAGTAGACCGATAACCGATATTTTGAACCGATATATATGTCTGGTGTAAAAATGAAAATTAATGTCAAAATTAAGAATAACAAGGGCTCTGACAAAAACTGCCTTCCCTGGTGTTGGTTGAGTGTAGTACTACCACAGTAAACTCTTTATTTAAAAGTTAAACTCTTTATTTTTGGCAAACAAAGGGTTTACTATTAACATTAAAATATGGAAGAAATAGCGTATTGTGTGATTATTCTTTTAAACAAAAGTTGTAATAATTGTTGTAGTAGAGTAGTCGGGTTAAAGCAAAAAAACAACAACTTTTGACTGAATTTTTCCTCGGCCAAACTCCATTCCACAGCCATACCTTTAAAAAAATTTAGGAGCACCTTCTGATCAATAATCAAAAATTCTGATCAAAAATTATCCTTCCTAATACGAGGTGACATGTGACTCCTTAAAGTGACTTACAGGGTTATTTTCTTTTTACCTTTGCAATGGCATCCTTATTCATCTGTCAAATTCTAAATTTATGTTTATAAGCTTTTTAAAATTTCTATTAAAACCAAAATAATAAGAAGTAGAATAAGACAAATAAGTTACCAATCATGAAATTAGTATTAATGAAAAATTAATTTGTACTACAGAGGTGGCACAAAAAGAACACAAAAGTGGCTTGTAGGTACATTTTCAGACATTCAATCAGGCTCAGAGGTGGCATGAGTGCAATTAAATTCATAAATTCATGTGGAAATTAATGTTTTAAATAAAATTTTGAATACAGAAATATTAAATGATTTAAATAACTGAAATTATACCTAAAAATGAAACTGAAACCACCAGCAGGTGGCG